CTTTTTAAGTGGCAATGCCAACTCCTCTAACAATCAAATTAAACAGACTATTCTGACAAGAAAAGAACTGGGTGGGAGCCAGCAACAACTGAGCCAGTAAATTTTCTCTATCAATGTTTTAAAATGTAATTTACTAAAAATGCAATTTACTAATGGGTAGCCTAGGTGGCTCAGCGGTTTAGCATGGCCTTCAGCCCAGGGTGTGATCCTGGAGACCTGGGATCGAGTCCCACGTCAGGCTCCCTGCATGGAGCCTGCTTCTCCCTCTGCCTGTGTCTCTGCCTCTCTCTCTCTCTCTCTCTGTGTGTGTGTCTCTCATGAATAAATAAATAAAATCTTTAAAAAATGCAATTTACTTATTTGAGTCATGCCAGGGAAAAAACATGATTTGGATTTATTTTTTCTACCCAAAGATACATTTGAATTCAGTATAACTTAAGATAAATCACTTACCTCCAAGTATGATACTTTCAGAGTAAATTCGGTATCACTCTTTTTATCAATTTCTTTGAAGAGCAATCGTATTACCCTAGGAATGACCCCAACTGTTGGTTCATTCTCTTGCTCTGCAGTGTATGCACCTCCCATTGAATAGGTTTTTCCGGAGCCAGTCTGTCCATAGGCCAGGACGGTTGCATTGTATCCTGATAAAACAGAAGTCACATGCATAGTGGTGCTCAAATATTTTCATCCAATCAATATCCTCCATCTCCTTCAGCAATTACTTGCAACAAAATTGAGATTGCTTTTTTTTTTTTTTGATTGCTCTCTTAAGACAAGGGTCTTTTAGGAGTAGCAGACACAGAAAAAACTTGTGTGGGTGACATGATTTTGCATCACTTTAAAGAAGCAAAGAAGAAAAATACCAACCTCCCAGAATGTGTGCCCCTCTTTATTGCCCTTAAAAACTAGGAAGTAAAAAATAAATAAATAATAAAATAAAAAAATAAAAACTAGGAAGTAAAACACTTAAAGATATGACTGAGATTATGAAGGTGGCCAAACACCTTCAAAAAGCCATTCAGAACTTTATAATTCTACTTTTACCAATTCTAAATTATAGGCATTAAATCAAAGTCTTAGAAGTAGCAAAAATGGAAGGGAGTCCAACCTTTGTTTTTGATAACCAATGTTCATCTGAAGAGGCAAAAAAGTTGATTTTTACAATCAATGAAAGCATCCACTCCCCATCTAAACTCTCAGACTGCATTTGGGCCATATTATCAGGCACTTTGGCCTTTTTTTTTCGTTTTAAAATAATTTAATTGTCTAAACAAAGATCTCCCTTCTGAAGGATATTCTGAAAGATCATAAGCTATTTCCTCAAGATTTTCACTGTAATAAATAGCTAGTATCACCTGGTATGATCATGAGGCAAAAGAATAACATTCCATAGTCTTCTAGAATATCACAGATATGTATATATAGTAATAACTGGGGGAACCAATTTTCAGTATTTTTTCCAAAAAAATTGAAGGCTCTCTGGTATTGGGAATTCAGAGTACAAGAGGATGCTGTTGAGCTGACTAAAAAATAGTGGTTTTGTCTTTGCAATTGAGAGCAATGTTAGCCAAACATATATATTGGGATCACTATCTACTTTATATTGCCTATAAAGACTATAATTTAATTCTTATAGTTTCCCAAGTTAAGATAAAAGTATAGAATTACAATGTTCTTACTGAGCTGTGAAGGAATATTTCTGAGGAAGATGACCAGATTATGAAGGGTCTGGAAAACCGTATCGTTTCCAAAATGGCTAAAGGAAATATGGATGGTTAATTAGAAGAGACTTAGGCAGAATCACGTAATTGTCATCCAAATATGTAAAAAGGAAAAAGATTAACTTTATAGTGGAGAAACCTATGATAACACCATAATCGAATGATCAAAATGAACATCAGCAGTAAGGCAACAAATTATGTGCTGCCGAATAGGATTCAATGGGAAGAATACAGCACCACTTCTGTGATATTCCTGTTAGAGATATACAACCACAATTTAATAATGAACACCAGACAAACCAAAACTGATAAACAGTTTACAAAATAACTAGCCTGTGATCTTCAAGAGTCATGATCACAAAATTTTTTAAAAAAAGACAAAAAAAACCTTAGAATGAAAGAGACTATACAGAGACAGTACAACTCTTAAATACAAGTGCTTCTGAATGAGATCCTTTTACTTTAAAGGATGTTATTGGGACAATTAGTGAAACTTGAATAAAGTCTGAGTAGTAGATGATAGTAATGTAGCAATGCTAATTTCATGATTTTGATGATTATATTGTAGTCATGTAGGAGGAAGTCCTTGATTGTAGCAAATATACACTTAAGTATTCAGGGGGCACCAGGTTAATAATTCATCTCAAATGAATCAGGAAAAAAGTTCTTTATGTCATTCTTTTTTTTTAAATTCTTTTATTTATTTATGATAGTGAGAGAGAGAGAGAGAGAGAGAGAGAGAGAGAGAGGCAGAGACATATGCAGAGGGAGAAGCAGGCTCCATGCACCGGGAGCCCGACGTGGGACTCGATCCCGGGTCTCCAGGATCGCGCCCTGGGCCAAAGGCAGGTGCCAAACCGCTGTGCCACCCAGGGATCCCTCTTTATGTCATTCTTACAACATTTCTGTAAGTTTGACATAATTTAATATTCCAAAAATCTGAAACAAAGTGTTCAGTGTGTTCTGAGCCACAGCATCATTTTTTAATAAAGATTTTATTTACCTATTCATGAGAGACAGAGAGAGAGAAGCAGAGATACAGGCAGAGAGAGAAGCAGGCTCCCCACAGGATGCCCAATAGGAGACTTGATCCCAGGACCCCAAGATCACCACTTGAGCCAAAGGCAGTCAACCACTGAGCCACCCAGACCTCCCCATAACATTATTTTAAAAAGTGGAAAAAATATGTGAAGCCTGGAAGAAGGCTTCCATTTGCCTAGAGGGATGAACTAATATCACTGGGTAGAAATTACAGGGAAGCAAATTTCATCTCAATATAATCTAACACAATTGAGAGTTGTCCAACATCCAATTAATAGGACCACTTTGTGAGTCCGTGAGTTCTCTATCAAAGAAAAAATTGTAAATAGACGCTGGAAGTTCACTTAAAGAATATGGCTGGAAAGCATTTTTCGTTGAATGCAAAGTAAGACTAGATGATGTACAAATGTGCTTTTGATTTTTAAGGGATTGTGTGCCATGGTCTGAGTTTTTTTACACAGACTTCTGCTTTGAATCCTGAATAGCCTCTGTACTGGAATAACAGTAATTAAACACCTCTCAGGCACTACTATCTTCTTTAGAACCCTGCTATGGTCTTCAGCAACACTAAAGTCTTAGCTTCTTCAGTAAAAATTATTAACTGGTCAGGGTACTCAGGGGCTTTAGGAAATACCCATCTTCACCTAAAAGAATTCTATTCATCATTCAAGATCTCTCTCAAACGTTGGCCTGTGCTGTGAGATTCATCCCTAATCCCCTAAGTAGTCAGTGCCATCCTTTTGGTTTTCATACCATGAAAGTAGCGCTAGCTACTTCCATAGCAGGACTGATTCTATTGTGCACTTTTAACTTTAACATATTTTTTCCTTAAAGATAAGTGCAAAAAGGTTAAAATTTTTATGTATTTAAAATTATGTATGCAGTCCTATACTTTCACTCCTACTCCTGGACTTTGAAAGCCTACAGGGCCTGGAAGGGGTTTTATATAATTTTTATATAATTTTTCTCTGAATTCTCAACAGGTTTCACAGTGCCTGAGCCTTAAGTAAGTTGGCAAACTGATCATCTTCGGCACCCATGAAAGAGCTTAGGATCTAATGATGTTCCAGGACAAACAAACAAAAATATATATACAAGTCAAAGATGAACAGAACCACAGAAAGCAAATACAGTATAAAACTAGCTTCAAGGGTACAGACTTTTGCAAATGACATTGAGTTAGTTCCTAGGCTGTGGGCTTTTTGAAGGCAGAACTCCTGTTTCATCTATTCCTGTATCTGCAGTACCCACGTACAGTGCCTGACACAAAATATATGCTAGAGAACCAGCAGAAGAATTAAATAGTCTTACCTTTAAATATGCCTTTTATGAGTGGTGCTACTGCTGTATTGAAGACTTCTTCTTGTTCCGTAGAGGGGTCAAACACAAAATCATAGGTAAAGGATTTGTCAGTACCAACCACCACCTAGAGAAGGCAAGGGACAAGAAGTGAGAAAAATGAAAGGCAAGACCACGCCCCTCACTGCCATTTGGCCCCAGCTGTTCAGAGGTAGGCCCAGGACTCTCCTACGCACCTGAGGCTCCCCGGGTACGAAGGAAAGGCACATCTGGCAGCCCTCACTAATCTCTTTGGGGACCAGAGGGCGACAACGCAGTGCCACTCTTACAGGAATTCCCTTCACCTCTTCTTTCATGATCCTACCGCAACACCGTCTCTGCTTGGGGGGGTGGGGAGAGAGAAAGAAAAGATACTTGCTGATGAATCAATCTTGGTAGGTCGGGAGGGGTGGGAGTTCAGGCCCGCCTTGGAGGGAAGGATGGGTTACGAAACTCGGCAGTAGCGGTGACAGCCTCCCCGTCCTAGTGGGATCGCTGCCTCGGGAGAGTCACTGTCTCTCAGGCTTGGCAACGACAGGACAGCCGGTCAGCTCCACGCTCTGAAGAGAGCGAAGTGGAGCCTGAAATGGAAAGGAAAGCCCCCAGCGGAGATGACGACAAAGAACCAAAGCCCCAGGGTACCAGGAAAGGCAGATCCTGAGCTAAAGTGTGCCCCCTTAACTCACCAAACTAAACGTCCTTTCGCCGGTCTCCCGCCTCCCTGTCCCAGCCGGAGCTTTAACCGCCAAGTTTCAAATCTGTCCCTGAGGCGCCAGCCAATCCGCGTGAGAGCTTGCGGGCAGAGCACGCACGTCGGCGCGCGCAGGAAGATGCGTTAGGAAGGGGAGGGCCTGCGCGCCGCACCCTGAACCCGCCCTTTCCGACCTACCGTAGCATCCGCTTCCGGCTTCCAGACTGAATTGGCGGCGAGCGGACCCTGGCGTTCCTGAGGTCTGCGGGTGAGTGAGGTAGTACTGCATCTCCCCGGCTTGTGCGCAGGATTCAGGCAGGATGCGGGGCAGGGACCTGGAAGGGAACCGGTGGTGAAGGAAGGGTCGTTGTTCTGGGGACCCCCACCATTACTGATCACATCTAGGGAATGTGGGTGGTGCCTTGTCCAGAGTCTTTGTGGATAGTTGGAGGCAGTCCTTGGACTTTGAAAATTGACGCACCTGATTTCCTCTTCTCTAGACGGCAACATCTGTTTTTGCAGGATTGTTGTAGGAAAGGAGATGATCTCTATGGAGTACCTAACAGGTTGCTTGACACGCAGATATTCAGCAAAATTAATTGTTCTCTTTCATCTTTTTTCTTCTTTTTCTCTCTCAATCTCTATCACCTGGAAGTGGGCTGGGCCCATAGATGACAGCCTTGGGATGGGGTGGGGTTGTTTTTTGAAACTTGCTGGACTGCTGACCCTTTTGAACCGTTTTCTGTCAGCTTCGATTCACCCTTCCGTCCATTCCAGGGCCTTGCTGGAGATGGACAGTCGGATTCCTTATGATGACTACCCCGTGGTTTTCCTGCCTGCCTATGAGAATCCCCCAGCATGGATTCCTCCTCATGAGGTGGGAATGTTTGAGTAGGGGATATATTCCTGTGGGCTTGAGATGATACATGAAAGGTAGGATAGCAGAATTAGAAAGCTCAGTGGAGGGTGAATTCTAGCCTTGTTGTAGCCAGGAGCCCAGAAATTAGAATCTGAACAACTGGGCCCATTGGGAGCTTCTTATGGAATCCAACTACCAGAGTCCATTCACACCAGAGAATTCTGGAAATTCAGAGCCCTAGTTTCTATTCTCTAAAGGTGGAGATGGGGAGCTACTGGGCTACTAACATTTTCCCATGCTATCCATCTACCCATTCGGACAGTGTTATCTGTACTTAAAACTAAGTCCATGACCACCCCTGTGTGTGTGTGTGTGTGTGTGTGTGTGTGTGTGTATTGCTTTTAAGATCTTATTTATTCATTCATGAGAGACACAGAGAGAGAAAGGCAGAGACACAGGCAGAGGGAGAAGCAGGCTCCCTGCTTGGAGCCCGATGTGGGACTCAATACCGGGTCTTCAGGATCACATCTTGGGCCAAAGGCAGGTGCTAAACTGCTGAACCCCTCAGGGATCCCCCCACACCTTTTTCTAACTTCAGGGTGATGCATTTGTAGTCCAGATGAAGGAAGGTATAAAATATAAGGCTGGTAGTAAGAATTTGGGGTGCTGTTTCTTGCAGAGGGTGTATCACCCAGACTACAACAATGAGTTGACCCAGTTTCTGCCCCGAATCGTCACACTGAAGAAGCCCCCTGGAGCTCAGGTGAGCTTACGGAAAAATTGTGTCTTTTTTTAAAATTTTATTTACTTATTTGAAAGAGAGCATGCATGAGTGGGGGAGGCATTGGGAGAAGCAAACCCCTCACTGAGCAGGGAGCCCAACATAGGGCTCCATCCCAGGACCCTGAATTATGACCTGAGCTGAAGGCAGACGCTTAACTGACTGAGCCACCCAGGTGCCCCAGAACAATTGCATCTTATTTTAGGATCGGTTTGTCTGTACCAGGCCCAGAAGTTGGCAGTGGATTGGGGGGATGGATGGGAAGGCAAGTAGGGAGGTAAGGAAACACTTTAATGGGCACAAAGTCTGAGATACCACTTCCACAACTTCTGACTTCTCTCTGAGAAACACATAAGCCAAGCTATCATACAGTGATACCATTAGATGTTCTTGTGTTTGTGGTCTATATTGAGCCCCCCTTCTGTGCTCTTGTCTTACAGTTGGGATTTAATATCCGAGGAGGAAAGGCTTCCCAGCTAGGCATCTTTATCTCCAAGGTATGTGTGCCTTGTAGGCAATATGGATTGCTAATTCCCTTTCTTAAGTTACCAGATTGCAGAACCATGGTATCCAAAGGCCTGGGAGAAGAATGATTTAGTAGACCTACAGAAGGGGCGTAATGGGGACAACCATTCCCATTTAAAACGTCTCAACTGGCAAACCATCTGTTTCTCTGCATTGTCACACACAAAAACAATAGCATCTTAACCTTTGAATAGCACTTAATTTCAGTTACAGCCTTTGAAACTCTTTTGCCTCAATCTCATATATTCTCTCCTTACTAACAGGTAATTCCTGACTCGGATGCACATCGAGCAGGACTTCAGGAAGGGGACCAAGTCCTAGCTGTGAATGATGTGGATTTCCAAGATATTGAGCACAGCAAGGTGGGCACAGCATCTGGGCTGTGGTGAGGCAAGAAGCCATCCCTGGTAGAAAAGGCTAGATAGGATTAGCCTCATCTGTAACTTGATATGAAGGAATCTCTGCTGAGGAAGTGCACCAAGAGGAACCAGCTAGTAGTGACCCAGAAGGTTCAAGTGGCAAGCTGTTTTTCTCCTGTTATGATACTGCCCTGAGTCAGATCTCTTTATTTGTACATGCTGCTGTGTTCCTTCCAGGCTGTTGAGATCTTGAAGACAGCCCGCGAAATCAGCATGCGCGTCCGCTTCTTTCCCTACAGTGAGTGCCACTCTCTTTTTTATTTATTTGGCAGGGTGGCCCTGGGTAGGAACTCTTTAAATACTGGTTACTAAAGGCCCCCCAAGTTTGGGATGGGGAATTGGAGGTGTAGGCTTGAAAGTAACCCATTCTTTTCTTCCTTTGCCCCAGATTATCATCGCCAAAAGGAGAGGACTGTACACTAGAGAGTTGCGGCCCATAGCCCTCCACATGAAATCTTCTCGGACAAGCTGGTTAGGCCTCAGGGAAGCCTCTTGGGAAACTCTACTCTCACCCCACCCTGGCAGAGTAGAGTGAGTTAGGGACACAGTAAGGCCCTGCACCGAGTCAGCCAGCCAACTGCATTACTCAAACTGTGCTGCACTTTTTGTTTCCTCGTTTTGTAGGTGAGATCATTCCCTGAAACAGGAAAGGCAGCCGACATTTATTGAATACCATGTGCTAGACAATTACACATGTGTTGTATCATTTTCATTAGAGTCTAGAAATCCACAGAGAAAAAGAATCTTGGGGGCCTTCCATCTCCTCCCATTCTCGTACTACCAGTCTCATACATTCCAGAGACTCCCTGGAACCACTCTCCCCGCCCCCACCCTCTCCCCACAAAAGTAAAAGGCAATGCTGAGGAAATGTTGGTGTGACTTTTGGATGATACTGACTGGGTTTTAAATACTATTGAGGCAAAAATAGTAGCTCTTCCAAAGACAGGAGCCTATGGAAGTACCAGCAACACTATATTTACCTCACAACTATCTCTATCTGGCCAGTACGTTAGGGAGGTCCAAGAACCTTACCTTCAGTGTAACTGAGGAATGGTGTAGGGTGAGGGGTACTAGAAGAAACTTCCCCTTACCTTATGAGCTTTGGACATTTCTCTGTGTATGGGGGGAGGGGTAGTATTAATATAATTGTCTTCTTCCCCACATTGTTTGATCTGGAACACAGATGAAGGGAGAGGCTTGGATGCATTTCTTCCAGGAATGATTCCCAATTTCCAGCTTGTAGTTTGAGTGATACTGTTGACTTCCCCCTTTTCTCCACCCCAACTCCCAAATAACCCACCACCATCTTTATTACCAGTCCATTGTTAGAGATTCCAGACCACATCTTATGCCATTTCTATTGGCATGTTTAAAATACCCCATTGGTTGGGCCTTTGGCTCAGGTCATGATTCCAGGTCCTAGGATTAAATCCCACATCAGGCTCCTTGCTCAGCAGAGAGCATGCTTCTCCCCCCACCCGCCCCCTGCCCCTACCCCTGCTCATTCTCTCTCTCCTAAGTAAATGAAATCTTTTTCAAAAAATACCCATTCAGAAAAGTTTTCTAATGAGGTATGAAGTGAAGTGCCCCCATGATGAAAGTCCCAGATTTGCCTTGAAAGAATCTTGGGAAGCTTAAACATGTATTTCCAGGCCCTGCCACTGGAGAGTGATTCTATTGTTCTCAGGTGGAACCTGGAAATCTGAGTTTTTAAAAAAGTCTTCAAATATGGGAAACAGTTCTAAATAGTATATCTCTTTGAGGAAGTTCTGGCTCTCTATAAATCCCTTTTCAGCTTTACTATGTGCTATTGACAGTAGCAATGTCCTTGTGAGTAGAGCTGGAGGTAGAATTTAGCCCTGTGCTGCCTGGGAAATCCCACTCCCATTCTGTGCTTCTATTTGCTGTGCTGTCCCCCAGTGGCCATCTGAAAACCTGGAGGCTGAGATACTTGCACAAAGGCATATTGGTTGAGTCTACTGAATGTTGAGGTCCAAGACTCTTCCTGTGGTTAGCAGGTTTTAAAACAGCTTGTCTAAGAAGTGTGGTAAACATGGTAAAAAGTCCCAACTAAGTGCCATGGGCCTAGGAGGCAAAAAGCCTGCCCTAAATTGGTTCTCACTTTGAGGTACTTAGAATGGTTCTTTGTCATGACACCAGCATGACACAACTGCATTGTAAAGGTACAGGTATAGCATGGAGAAGATATAAACGATAACAGGCTGAGGCAAAAGTACTGGTCATTTATTGAAGGTGTAGCTAAGAAAATATGGGGAATGAACTGTATCTGCCTCTGAGGTATCCCAGCTGCTGTAGGACTGTATCCCTTTTAGAGTTTTTATTTTATTTTTTTTAATTTTTTTTTTAATTTTTTTACTTTTTATTTATTTATGATAGTCACAGAGATAGAGAGGCAAGGCAGAGACACAGGCAGAGGGAGAAGCAGGCTCCATGCACCGGGAGCCCGACGTGGGATTCGATCCCGGGTCTCCAGGATCGTGCCCTGGGCCAAAGGCAGGTGCCAAACCACTGCGCCACCCAGGGTTCCCCCTTTTAGAGTTTTTAGCAGTCAGAGAAGGTAAGGTGGGATTCCTGGGCCCTGCAAGAATTTTCCACCCCACAGCAGCGAGATGCAGTCCAGAAAAACAATAGCCTTTTCAGAGGTTCTATTAAAATTTTTATTTTTATTTTAAGTATGACTCACACCCATTGTGAAGTTAGAACTCAATGGCCCTGAGATAAAGAGCCTCCTGCTCCACCGACTGAGCCAGCCAGGTGCCCCTCAGGGGTTATGTGTTGCTCCTAAATTCAGAAATTATATGGAAGCTTAGTTAAGTAGCCAGGGATTTAAACCTTAAATCGGAGGGGGGGGGGGGATGGATTACTGGCAAGCCCAAAAGCAATAAATTCATCAAATTAGACAAGAGACCAGGTTATCAACAGGAACAGTGGCTTTTGATGCCTGACTCCGTGAAAGGCTCCAGTTGGATTTCAACCACTGAAGTGTGTTATGGTAAGGGATGTGACTAGGGTTAAGTCTCAACTACCAGGGGCAGCTTCTTGGAGACACAGAAGAGGAATTCTGATCTGACCTCTTCTTGCCTGAAGGCAAACCAGGAAGCTATTTTTTGTGCTGAGGTTAGTCCCATTTTCCCTTAAATATCTGTCAGGACTGGCCATCTAACTCATCAAAGGAAGTTTGCCTTCTCTGCTTTACACTCCTTAGCCCAGCAAAGCTAGGATAAAGGATGCTCCTCTTCAGTGGAAATGAATTCTGGATGGAAGGGCAGAAGCCATGTGCTGGGATAGCTGTGTGCATGTGTTAAATGCATGTAAAAGGCGAGATTCAGAGACGATATTGGGCCTTTGTACTGCATGGTAGGGAAATGAACCTTGTACCTGCCCCAAGATAGGACAAGCCAAGGTTATCCAAAAGAATAAGCAGTGGAGGGTAGCTAGAGACAAGTGCAACAGAAGTATCCTAAACAGAAATGGATATTACATATTTCACATTGTAACTGGTTTGGGTACTGGTCTCAAACATCACATATGAGGTCTCTGGATTTTTCTTCCCCATCATCTACAGAGACTTGTCTGGACAAATGACAAATGATGTGAGGGACCAGAGAGTGGTAAGTGGTAACTCAAAGTGGATAAAGACGGATCCTTCTGAAGTGTGATGATGCCTCCCCAGGACACCAACCATAGAAGCCTTGAACCCATCACCTTTCTATTCCCTGAAACTGGTAAACTCCTCCCCTATAAACAGCACAGGAGAGCCTTCCCATAGAGATTGACTCTAGGTGTGCCAGAAGTTGTAGTTACTTTTTGTCGTTCAGATCAGTGTTGTTATCCACTAACATGATGATATCCTCACTTCTTTGTGCTCCTATATCTACCCACTTACCTGTCTCCTTGAAAGCATTGATATCTACAAGAGAATGTGTTGTAGAGAGTTGAAACATTTAGTAGAGGTTTAGAGAGGATAATGTACCTGCCCTTCCTCTCTGCTAGTCTTACCAACCTATTGTTTCCCTCAATCCCTTTTCAAATAAAACGACAGAACATCCACTTGTGACATCATAGCCAGCCACTGCAGTAGTTGAATCACATGTAGTAGAAATTTAGGCTGCAAAAGCACTCCCGGCCAGCTGTGTCCCATAGCTGCAGCCTGAACCTGCATAAGAAAATGTTTAGAAAGGAAAGAAACTTGCCTTTTAAAGGTTAGAACTTAAAAGGCAAACCAAAAAGGATCAAAGAAACTGGGTCCCTGAAAAGTGGTTGCTCTGGACACAAACCAAGTGGCCTAGCATTCCTAGGACAGATCCAATCTCAATATACTGTTTTGATTGAGGAAGACCTTATGTATAGAGCAGCAGATTTAAGGATTCAAAGCCTCCTGGATTTTGTGCTAAAGGTGGAGATGAGATGAAGGCAGAGAAAAGAAGCAGGGTTTGGTCATTTGGGGAGGCTTCATATTTTTCTTCCCCTTTTCCACAAATAGTCCAAGATGGTGCTACCCTACCATTAATGCGTAGGCCTAAGGTGTTGAGGTATAGTGTTAGTGATAAGAGAGTAATCATTCACTATTTGGTCCTCCCAAGTACATGGTCTTAGACAGGAAGCCAATTCCAATGAATACCTGCAACCAAGAGTCAGATACTCTGCACCACTCCTCTACTCCCAATACCAGGCAGTCTTAGAACCAGAAGTGGAGAATGGCCCTAGAAAAGGTGGTCCAGGGCTCAACTTCTCAACGCTCACAAAAGATAACTTTGAGAAGAATCCCTAGGTGAGTTGGCCAAGGTGGGGACAAAAATGTACTGTATGATGCCTTGATGGTGGGCTCACCTGGCAGGCAACTAAAGCTGTAGTACTTGAAGCCCATGATGAACCTTATCTTTCCCACCTTGAAGTAGGTAAGTAGGCCAATCATCACCCTGAGGAAATTGATACCACCTCCTCGGCCTCGATACTGTACCTTACACAGCCCTATTGCCAAAGCCCTACCCATGTACCTCCCTTCCCTGCTCTGCTCCCCCAGGCACAGGAGTGTGGATTTGTGTAGAGAATCTAAGTGGTTTCCCGGAGAAGCCTCTGGCCTTGCCCTGGGCCCCTCTTGTGAGGGTGTACATCGTGGCAGGTGGGTGGTGCTCTCAGGAGGTGCTCTGACAAGATCACACGGAACTCTTCTCTGTCCATCTGCTGCTCATCACCTTGCACGCTGCCCAGGGCTTGGCACACGGCCATGCCCCCTCAGGTCCTGCCTGTAGCAGTGGGTGACCACGGGAGTGGGGTGGTAGGGGTGCTGTGGTGGTAGGGTAGGGGCTGGGATGGCCAGGGCCCAGAGGAAAAGTCGAAAGACCCACGGAGGGCAAGGGGCCTTGCCAGAGGGAAGTCCAGGGTTGTTTAGGGGAAAACCACATGGTAGAGAGTAATCATGGACAGGAGCAGAGGGTGCTGTTCTCCATACTCCATTACCTCTTTTTTTTCATTTTTTTATTGGAGTTCAATTTGCCAACATATAGCATAACACCCAGTGCTCATCCCATCATGTGCCCCCCTCAGTGCCCGTCACCCAGTCACCCCCACCCACCTCCCTTTCCACCACCCCTTGTTCATTTCCCAGAGTTAGGAGTCTCTCATGTTCTGTCTCCCTTTCTGATATTTCCCATCCATTACCTCCTGGAGAAGGAAATACCAAAGAGATTGCCAGGCACGTCTGGGACAAGTTGATTTATTAGAGCGTTACAGTGGGGCTCCCACACAGAGGCACCAAAGGAAGGTGCTCAGCTTCCCTCGTCCCCCTCCTCCGCCAAAGCCTCCTGGCTCTCTCGCCGCTCCTGCCGAGCAAACTCCTCAATGACTATGTCCTCAGAGCTTGCAA